TACTGTCATGTGATATGTTTTTGATTTCATGCATTTTTATGATTTATAAGGCCTATGTCATTGTGTTGTAGATGCTTGTCTGGTATACCTGGCATCATAAAGTATCTATAACCAACCACACCATACAATAGAGACAGTAACGTGACCCAGGCAGGGAGCACTGTCCAGGGATGACATTATATTATAAACAGGATAATATGTGTTGTTTGCAGGTAAAATAACGATTCATCGCTAAAAAGTTGCAATGTCTCAGATCACTGCATAATAAGATCACCATACCAGTGATATATTTTGGCAGGTTTAGTTGCATAAACAAATTATCTTGATTTTTATGGTTCAAAGAATATAAAGCCAGCAATAAAATACAGACACTGCATAATAAGCTTAGTCTGTCAATGACATATTTTGGCAGGATTAGTTGTATAATAAACCTATATTAAGGTTATGCATGATATAACCTTTCTGTGTCAATGTCCTATATAGCTTGCTATAGGCATAATAAAACATTTTAGAGATATTAAAAGACATGTACAGGTGATTTATTTTGAAACATCTATTTGCAATTTTAAAAAATGAAAATCTGATTATTTTTAAATTAAGTAGTAAAAAGCCAATGAAAACAATTAGTTGACTACTCTCTCTATTGACAAAAACAAGAAAGAAATTACGAAATTGATAACATGACCAATGTAGAGTCGTTTTAAAGAGTCATGAGGTTGAGAGGGGAGCTACCGGCATCAAGTATCAAAGAACTCAATGATAAGAAATTCGAAACTGGGCAGTCAAAAGTGGGCTAGCATAATTGAGTCAACATAGCTAATAATGTTTATTTGATATTAAAGATGGTTTTTCTTATTTTTTTTATTGTCAAATTAAGCAAACTATTTGATTAATTGGTGTTTCTAATGAATTATAACATATTCTTAATCATATCATTATGTTCTTATTGCATATAATTAAGAGTTTTAACCAATCATAAATGTCCATGTATGTACAGTCTGGATAAACGAAAAAAGACTTCTTGACCTTTCTTGATCGGTCACTCATTGCTTTTCTGCTTGTAATTCTCTTCTAATTTAGCTAATTATGAATTAATTATGGACATGTGAGACAAACTGGTATTTTTCTAAGTCATTATCCTAGAACACCTCTACTTTCTATTCATATAATTATTAGCATTTTCATTTTCATCTTTAAGGTTTCATCAACTGACATCGGTTTCAGAGAGTCCACAAAGCTCTTAATATTTTATTTTTGATTATCAAAGAGTTATAAACAAGATAAGCCTGAGATTTCCC